ATTTTTATCCTCGAGGTAAACCTACCAGAGCGAGCTGTATTCCCTTTTACTGCTAACCTGGTTTGGTGCTATGACCAGGGCCAACACTTGCAGTCAGGGTTACTCCTTAAACTGCTATTACTCTTGTAAAGTTCACCCAAACCCTGGTACTCATCTTTCTAACTTCTTTTCCATCATCCTCTACTAGCCACAACTTGGAACTATCCAACTCCCCAGACTCCCAATCCAGATAGCCCGATATGGTATACTTATGTATCCTTTTTCTCCGATGATTCTGGCAGCCTAGTTGGTCATGTGCTCCTCTATACATCTTGTCATCCAGTTTATCTGACAGTTCCTATGAAGATGTTTCATAGGCTTCCATCAGTCCAATGGCATCATCGAAAGTTTGTGCTACCTTTTTACACGGAATTTCCAAATGGGTTTCTGTCTCTTCAGTTTCTTAGCTTTCTACGCCCGGGGGTCTTATCATGGGTTTGCACCGAAGCCTTATACGACACCGGTTTTAACATTCTTCTATGTACATGTACCATGTAACGTTACACTTCACATAGATGCCCTGAGCTCCCAATGTCAGGTGGGGCCTGACTTGGTGTACCTAAGATTACAGATGCCCAAAACCCAACCGATTAGTAGAGACAGTTACCATAACACAGGTATAATTTCCAAAATTTGTCATCTGTAGGAATTGAACCTTAGACCTGCCACTTGGGGGTTGACAACCTATCCATTTTACTAGGTCACCACACCCAATAAATTTTTCTTAAAATAAATCTTTTAATAATAAATACAAATATTAGTTATTAGAAGTTAATATAATATATAATATTAAGAATGTGACAACTTAGTGAAGTGATCAGGTTGTCAATCTCCAAGTGGCAGGTTTAGAGTTCAAATCCTAGTATTGATAAAAAATTTAAAAATTTTTTCAATATTATAGTTAACTATTTCTTGCAATTAGTTGAAATAAGATACCTGTTACTTGTATTGCATTAGCATGACTGATAGGTTACATGGCATTTGTATAATAGTTATATAACATTGTCCTTTGAGACAAAGTCTGTAGTTACACAAAGGAATACAAACTGGTACTAGGTGATGCAAACCTACAATAAGTTTTTGTGATCATGTAAATCATAGAAACCAAATAAAAAAAGATAGAAGCCTATTTGAAAGACCTAAGTAGAGAGGTAACTCAAACTTTTGATAATGCTATTGTAAAGACTAGACTTATAAAACAGAGCTAAAACTTGTAAAACCAGACAAATATTTTGATCTTTAAGAAGAAATCAGATGAACCAATTAGGCTGCCAAAATTTTCAATTTTAAGAAAAAAAATATATATTAACAAACATGTAAACTAAAGATATGCTTATAGTCTACATTTCTAGACTATTTAAAATAGCAGCTTGGTGAAACTTGAATTAAATACTAAAATAGTAAAGATATATTGTAAATTTAGTACCAAGATTGGAGTGAACTTTACAAAAGCATAACAGTTTAATAATATGCCCTAACTACCAGTATTGGTTTTATTTATAGAAATACTAAGTTAGTTATAAAAATAGGATACAAAAGATTCTAAAAGATTTAGTACAAGATCAAAGATTTCAAAGAACTGCTTTAAAGACTTAGTGACTATAGTATATTTTTATCAATATTGGTCAAGATTATTAATAGACAGAGGTAAATAGGTGAATATGGAAATTAGAATAGTTAAATAGGAAACCTACAAGCAGGTTTCAAATATAATAACTAGTGTAAAACCTTCAGATGAACTACTTAAATTAGATAATAACTAAAGTTATATGAGTAGCTAGTTGTAATCTCTTTTTATGATTGTTTTTTGTAGTTGTAATGCAACTATTAGCCAAATATATTATTAATAAAATTCTAGATTACAAGTACTCATCTTAATGAAAGCCTTCTTAATTTTATATTATAATAATAACACAGCATAAGAAATCCTTTACAGGTATATGCAGTATCCAAGAAAGAAATATAATTTTTATTAGATGTTGTCAAAAAACTAAACCTTTTTCTGAGACAGTTTGGAAAAGGTAATGCAATATTTCACTAAAAGAAGATAAACCTTGTTTATAGAAATTATCTTAGAATGAAGTATTTATATAGTTGATAGTTAAAAAGTTGTTTATTAAAGTAATAATAAGAAGAGCAATCTTTAAGTTTCTGTTTCTAAAGAATCCCAAAATGTGTTTACAATACTAAAAGAAAGATAAGTATTTGTTGTTTAATTACACTTGAAGAATTTAGTAGGATTTATATATCTGTGAGCTAAACAGTTAAGTAGCCAAGTGACTAAGCAACTAAGTGACTAAGTATCTAAGTATTAAGTGACTAAGTAACTAAGTGACTAAGTGACTAAGTAATTACTAAATGATCAAAAGGTTTTAGCAACTAATAACTAATGATTACTAAGTGACTAATTACTAAATAAATAAGCAACTAAGCAACTAAGTAATTAAACAATTACTAATCAACTAAAAAGTTCTAGCAACTACTAATAATAATAATAATACAATAATAAAATAACTAATACTAAATAATAATAATAATAGAATGATAATAACTAATAATAAAATAATAATAATTTGTTCTATAATAATATTTAAAAAAAAAAATAATATATAATATTAGTATTTTATAATTGAGTTTTCTTTTAGATTTTTTTTTAGTTTTGTACTTTATTCATTTTTTTATAAAACTTTATATTCAATTATAACTTTTAAATAAATTATAAAACCAAAATAACTTTAGTCTAATTCAAATTGTTAATCTTAATTATAAAGGTTTAATAGCTTAACTGCTAAATTATAAGGTCTAAACTCTATAATTTATAATTTTTAAAAGCTCTAATATCAACTTAAAATTATAATTATCTGTTTAAATAAATTTCTAATTTTCTTTATTTTTTTATAATTTTTTTTACTTTGTTTTTGTTTTTTTATATATACTTTTTTATTTTTTTAATTTTTTTATAAAAAAATGTTAAATTAGCAGTATAACATATTTTTTGTCAAAAGTAAATTACAATTTAGTGCAGTATAATATGATCAAAAAATTTTTGTTGTAAAATAGTAATTAGACAAGCTTTCAAAATAGTATGCTTTAGATTTTACTCAACTAATACAAACAGATTACTTGAAAGTACTTATAAAAATAACTACAAAATATTACTTAAATAATTATTTATCTTGTATAAAAAATATATTCTAAAATAAAATAAGTGGCGCAACTAGCAACATGAAAAAAATTAAAAAATAATTTGCTTATTTTTTTAATTTTAATATTTTTTAATACAAATAAAATATAATTATACAACTTTAATATAAATAAAATATACTTATTTTATTTTTATTACAATATTATTTCTATAATTAGCAAGCAAAAATTAATTAACTTCAATTTTTAACACAGTTTCATTTAAGTAATTTTTATTGCTACAATAATAACATATAAGTTGATCTTCTAACTATTGTAAAAACCCAATCTTTTATATATATATACCAAATAGTACAAAAAATAAATTTTAAATCCAAGCCTAATATTTTGAATCTCAAGATGTTGATTCTTGAACATTTTCAGTATATGAGTATTCTATTGGAGGTGGAAGAAGGGCCACAACCTAAAATTAATACAATGTAATTTAAAACGACTTATAAAATAATAATACTTGAATCAAGCTTTTTTTCATCACATCATAATTTTCGTCATACCTTTTCATGTGTTTCCAAGGTTTCCAACTTATCTTCTCCAGATTTGATTTTTGCAGCTAATCCAGGTTCGGAATCAACAACTTCTTTTAATACAGACTGAAACTTTTTATATAATGAATCTTCTGCAGTGATGTTATCAGGAGCTAAAAAGTAAACACCTTTCTCTAGATTGTCGGAGATTTCCACTAAATCAAATAACCAAACAATCTGAGTAAATAAGCTTTCTAGATTCAATAAAGTTATAGATTAAAGGTGAATATATAAAAACGCGGAATTTACCACCAAGACTTTCTTCAAACGTTTTACGAAAATCAGCACGAGCGTCCATAATCTTAGCGGTTATTGCCGCAGTAGGGGTTAAAGGAACTGGGCGATGGTGTCCCATTTTATTGTCAAATTGTATAGTTAAAATACTTGTTATGTTAGAAGAATTTAAATTTCGGATTCAAGCATGCTTTATATGCATTTATAGCGCGGCCCGAACGTGCTACTTAATTACCCATATTTAGGATCGTAAATGAACGTTACACTCAACCAGCCATCGCACATTAACATTGTCAAGTCAGGGGTAGCTACCCCAGCTACGGCTATGCCGCAAGTTATTTTATATTTTAACGATAACGTTCGCACACATTGCTAGTTTTTCATGAGATAGCCGTATCGACAGTGCGATTTATGTTGATTATGTAAATCGATATCTGTCTGGTATACAGTATATTCACGTGATTATGTTGTAAGAATGGACCATAATATTTATTATTGGAACCTAAAAATAGAACTTGCGACCAGCAGAGATGGCTTCGCCATTTTGAAAGACACCAAAGCTTAAATGCAAAGTTTCAAATGCAAAAATACTTTTTTATATCATAGACCATATATAGAGGTTGAATTTACATTGTAAAAGATCAATTTGTAAAAAGTCCTCAACATGACATGACATGACAAAATTCAATCATTACAAATTTCCATTGATATCATATCTTGTGTTACGCAATTGCTGAGCCAAAACGCAAGGCAGACTCGTAGGGTATATATAAAGATGAAATTTGACCTTTAATATTGCACGACTTTTTTTCAGACAAAATAAATAGTGAGAAAAGAACTTATATTAATTTGCCTTAATAGAGTTAGAAGCAAATATTGGTTATATATTTGTAGTGTTATACTGTGGCAAAACGAGGCTTATACATAACCTTTGCTTCGTATGAATTTCACGCTTGTGGCATCTGATTGTTTTTTCTTAACTTTCCAATTTGATTGACGATGCCTTCCTCGGATCGCCAAACCGCACTGGATCTGTATAAGTATGCAACTCTTAGCGCTTTCAAATCTTTCTTTTTTTTTTTTGATTTTCATAGAATCCACCTTCTGACGTCTACAAACCTTTTTTCTTTTTCTTTTGTAATATTCACCCATAAATCCTTACCATATAATTACTCTTTATATCCTCTCTCGTATTACTCTATGATCACCGAATGATTTGTCAGATCTTCGGTGGAATTGGAAGCTGAGCTTCGCCAGCTTTCAAAACAAAAGCCACCTTTTGATAAACAAGTTGCAACTGTGCGCACCAAGCAAGTAGAAATGAACTCTTTTATATATGTTGGGTAGTCTATATTCATTTTGTTGATTAAATGATTACAATTTGTTTATTCAGATTACGAGAGCATTATGAAAGAATTATTTTTCTTGACTATGAATTTGCGCAGTCGAAAGAAGTTGAACAGAATCTGTGGAAATACGTGTATTATAAATTTATTGAAGAATTCAGGAAGAGGATTCGTACTGTGAGTATTTGTTGCTATGAGCATTACTTTGATAGTTGACATTGGACTGTATTGACATTAAGATCCTTATTTGATGTATTCATTCTGTACTAGGCTGTTACCTCCGGTGGAAAATCCAAGGGGATTCACCGCAAGCTGACAAGTTCGTTTCGCTCGTTCTTACAAGAAGCAACAGGGTTTTATTATTCTTTTATCCAGAGACTTGCTGCTCATTTCGAGTTGAAGCAACTAGATCCTATCATCCAAAAGTTTGGGTTAACAATAGGTATCATTTTTGATTCGATATATTTTTCTTAGTGGAAACTTATAATATTAAATATTCGGTTGTCACTTTATTATTGTTGTTTGTCGGCTTTTAATTAGAACCTACCAATGTTTCTCAACAATCTTATTCTGATGATATTAAGCAGAAGGCTGTACTTAGTTGTCATAAAAGTCTTATATTTCTCGGTGATTTAGGTATGTTATATTAATAATATTTTTTGTATATTTATTAATTCTGAACTAATTCTTTTATTATAACAAAGCGCGTTATCGGGAGTTACAAACTGAGAAGCCGCGTAAAAATTGGTCCATTGCGTGTGACTATTATAACCATGCAAGACATCTAGTTCCTGAAAGTGGTTAGTATTAACAATGTTAACAATATTATAGATTAATTTATTGACAAGCGTTTCCAATTGTTATGAACTTCTTAGGTAATCCACATAATCAATTAGCCGTAATTGCAACCTATAGTGCTGATGAATTTTCCGCTGTATACCATTATTATCGGAGTCTTGTTGTCAGATGTCCTTTTTTGACAGCCAAGGACAATATTAGCCTTTTGTTTCATAAAGCTAGAAAGTCCTCTGCTGATGCTCAAGAGAAAATACAAGAGGCTCCTCAAAGAGACCAGAAAGAAAATGGTAGTAGACGACGATTTTCTCATCAGCGTCAAGTGTCGTCTGCAGCACAATCAGCCAAAATTCGAACCGGTGAAGCTATACAAGCCTTTTTTTCTGATTTTATTCGTTTACACAGCATTTTGTACTTTAGAACGGAGTTCGTATATACATTTCATACTGTTTAAATTGTTAATCAAGCTTTAATAAGTATGTTGTTAAAATTAACATTTGAATGACTTCATAGTTTGGAATCGTATTCCGAGTTGAAAGCAGCTGTGTTGAATCAATTGAAAGAAAGTGTTCTTTCTCTTGCATTAGATCCTGATCAACTCTTAAAATTTACGGCTATTAATATGGCAGCCTCATTCGTCATTCGACATATTGCAAATGGTTTGTTGCGTTTTACCACATTCACATATTTACGGGTCGTAATTTTACAAACGATAATCCTTCTATAAATTATCATATTAGGAGATAGCAACAATGTTAATCAAAGTCCGAAGGTCCCTATTTCGTATTCTACAGCCTCGAAAAAGGCCCTTGTAGAAAAATACGCCGTATTATTAACTTTGGATACACTTTCCGCTTTACTGGATTTGTGTAACTCTGAATTGTTGGATGTCGTGGTTGAATATTCGGAACAAAGGCACAATGCAGTTCAAATTCTTCCGGCTCCTGTTAAAAGAAGTTTGATATCTCTTCGTGTGGGAACAAAATGGGTTTATTCTTCTCTCGAACATCTGTCATCAATATCCGCATTAATTGAAAAAGATCCTAATGTCAAAAATGAGTTCGCAAACATTGCTAGGTTTTGGCAACGGTTTGCTGAATTTCTTAATTCTTTGGAACGATTGTTCCCCCATATTCAAGGCATTCCTCTTGATGTCCCGCTAGCAGAAGATCTTGAATTGAACGGATTTTCAGGTTTAAAAAACCATACATTTATGAATGGACAGATTTTCCTTAATCAAGGGGAGCCTTTTGAAGAATTAGACATGCGCATTTATGACATATTTGAAGATGCATGCAAGATTTCGGAATCAGAGGTTGGTTAGCATTATTATAAGCATTTTCTAACTATACGTTATTAATGTTCTCAAATTTTGATATTTTAGCATTCCCAATTATTCTATGTTGATGGTGTATTTAGCTCAGGTACACCACCTAGCAAGGCTGCATCTCCTGCTAGTTCTTTGAGCCCTGTCCAAAATCAAATTACAGACCAATCTTATGTTGAGGACAAGTTCGAGGCTCCTATTACTGATTTAATTGCGGACCCTTATGAGACTAATTTAGCCGAGTCCCAGTCCTTTGCATCTATTAGCCCCAAAAAACTAACCAATGATTCTTCCGAAGATGGTGATTCAGAAGATGAAGTGATCTTATTTACGGGAAGACATTCTTCTGTTATTGAGAATAACAATGCGAAGTATGAATAAGGAAAATTTTATTTATATCGGAATATGTACCTGAATCTGATTTAAATTTATTGAAAATTTTAATTACTTAGTGGTTTAGCTACTTCAGAAAAATCCTCTCCACGTCCTACTACTGCTGAAGTCTTATTGACCCAAGTCTTAAAATCTAACAAATCAGTATCTTCAACATTACCAATTACCAATTCAAATTACTGGAATCAATTTAATACCACCCAATTATTTCCAAACAACAATGACTTAAACGTCGAGAACGTTGAAACAAAACAGCAAAATTTTTTAGAGTTTCTATATCCCGTGACTAGGCCTTCGACTAATCTAAACGGCAACACTAGCGCATACCCTCAACCAGCTTTCTCTGCGCATACCACCATCTCTGGAGTGCCAAACGCTTCACAGGATCCTCTTGTGCCTTCTACAAAACGTTTATCCGGAGAATTTAATTCAATTACTCCATATCAACAGTCGACCGCTATTTCAAGCGCGTCATTGTTTGCGTTCCCAGGTACCGATGGTGGTGTTTCTCAATTTGGCTTATTTGGCGATCCCAATACTAGCCTTATTGGTTTTTCGGGAACCGCTGGACATACTTCTGCGAAATCTGGCTTATCAGCTATCAATCCACCGCCTGGGTTTTCATCTGAATCAAGTGCATTCGATCTACATAGGCATAATCAACAAAATAACCAATCACTATTCCAACCATCTAATGTTTTTGGGTTCTCTTCTTTCGACATGAGTACCCAATTCCCATGGAAGCAAAGGGAATATGTAAATGGTTTGTCAGATGGTAATTTACAAATGAATGGAACGACTGGATTATCTGATCATTAGGAATTAAAATGCTTAGCTTTGCAGGTTTTTGAGTCGACTTATTTTAAACTACTTAGAACCTAGGACCGGACTCAGAGACAACAAGAGAACGGCTTCTAAATCACGTGGGATTTGTGTGACGCATACATCACATGACACATAAGTCAAATCACCAGAAAGTCTACAGACAGTGTTTAAGTCAAATGGGCACTGTTCATAACGATAAGCACTGTCGTAAACATGGTGTCGTATGCAATCACACGGTTTAACGACACGTTAGTTTACTTAAAATAGCGAAAGTTTTACAAATTATGATTATGAAATCTCGCCCCTCTATAAGATCATACAAATTATTTTTTTTTTTGCTCTAATTTTATGTGCTGGCTGCCAACTCGATTTTTTTATTTATTAAAAAATTTTATTAAAATTTTTTTAAGACGTATAACGACTCTAAAGCCATAAATATCAATAGTCTTTGTAAATTTTTGACCGGATAAAAAATTTTTTTTAGGATTATAAATACAAACTTCTAAAACATTTTAGACAATCCCACGTCTGAGATGTAATGTTGTATAAAGGTATCTCTGGTCATAGATGTCTAGCTTATGCATAGTGATGATCATTAGCTCGGCTAAGAGTTTACAAAATAAAGTATCAGTTTCAGAAACGGTTCGGCTAAAGACTTTAAAGCCGAACATGGAGTTGCGAGACGACTTTTGCAATCATGTAGATCTCGTGTAACATTCAATATTAACATATTTGATTTTTTTTCCTTTTAAAGCTCCTGCCTTTGGGATGTGATTTTTATTCAAGGTTTTGTCGGACACGGGTGCCTTCGGGGGCTCCCTTACATTGGAGGTTACAACTAGTTACACGTGCACTTTTGGTGCCTAATTTAAGTAGTCCGCCTAATATATTACTATATAGGTTCTACACTAGATGTTATACTTGCAAGCCAACTACGGGTTTTGCCTATTTAAACCTTTTACATATGCAATCTTCTTGTATTACAAAAACACAGTTTTCAATCTTTATCAGTATCTTTAGAATAATTTTATTTTTGATAGAAAACTTATTAGAACTTGTAATGTTTCACACATGTTGTTTTAGTTTTATGCAACATGTTATAGTTACTTAATATTTGTAGTTACAGGATTTACTTGTTTAATCATTATGTTACATTATTTCTATTTTTATAAAGTTTATTAAGATCTTAGTACTCATCTTTTTAACATTTTCTTTATTATTTTCTATTAATTGCAATTTAGAATTAATAAATTTTTTAGATTTTTAGTTTAAATGATTTAGTATAATATATTTTAGTATTTTTTTTTTACAATTTTGACAGCTTGTTTAGTAATATGTTCTTTTATATATCTTTGTTATTTGATTTATTTATCTATTTCTTTGAAGATGTTTTATAGGTTTTAATTAGTCTAATAATATTATTAAAAGTTCATGTTATTTCTTTATTTGAGAATTTTTAAGTAGGTTTTTGACTTCTTAGTTTCTTAGTTTTTTATATCTAATGATCTTATCTTGGATTTGCATCAAAGTCTTATATAATATTAGTTAGTAATAATCCTCTATATATATATAATATTATATTTCATATAAATATTTTAAACTTTCAATAGCAAGTAGAATTTGACTTGATATATCTAAGATTACAGATTTATAAATTTAACTGATTGACAAAAGATTATTATCATAACACAAGTTAACTTTCAAATTTTATTATAGATAAGATTTAAACATTAGACTTGCTATTTGAAAAATAACAACCTAATTATTATACTAGAATTGTCATCTTCTATTAATATACTTAATATTATAATTTAATATATATATATTATATATAATAATATAATTACTAACACTAAATATATTTTTAATAACAAAACTTATAATATATTTACTTTATTATTATAAATACAATTTAATTATATTTTATCAAAATTGTAAAAACATTATTTACTTTTATATTTTAAGATTTTATTACAAAATATCATATAATAATTATAATTTTTTTTATATTTAAGAATATTTTATTATTTTTTTTTTTTATTTTATTAAAGCCAATGTATCGGTAGCTACCGCCTTTATTTGTGTTTTTGGTCAATGCATTACATATGACTTGTACAAGGTAAGTGTGCAACTA